CCGCTGGGGTGGCTTGTCCCCAGGATATTTTGAGATACCTCCACCAGCTTTGGGGAGAGCTGCAGGTGGCCAAGCCTGCAGGTCACCCGTGGACGTGCCATGCCCCGAGCCGGGGATGAGCCCTGCTGTGACGTTGGCACAAGGCAGTGGTTTCTCACGGGGTTTCCATTTCTAATTCCCACGGACTTCCTGGTGCCGTGTGCGAGATGCACCCCATGTCTCTGATAGCAAGGATGTCACTTAGGATATCAGTAGCCATTTAAAAAAAGTCTTCAGGGTTAATTTAGTTTTCAGCAGTTGAGCAATCACGGCCACACAAATTACTTTCTTCCGCTCCTTTAAGCTTTACTAGGTGCTCATAAAGTTAATAGGTCCTGGTGAATAACGTCCCGGTCCCCGTGAATAACACATGGCTGATTCGATCAGGTGCTCCGATGCAGAAGGCAAGGTACAAGAGAGTGAGATGCCGACCTGACTCCTGGTCCACTAACTGCATCGAAGAGAAGGGGCCCTGGTTTTACATGCCCACCGGCGGAGCCAACAGGATCCTTCCTCCCATGGCAGACCCGTCCCTGTAAGTTCATTTGCCGCACATTTGTCACTAATGCTAGCACCCAAAAATGTCTGGTATTCCCATCACAGTCCTGTCCCGGCCTCAACAGTCCTGTCACAGCGTGGCTCACCCATGGGAACGTGAGGCTTCGGTGTGTTCACTTAAGAGATCATAAACAAAATAATAAATTTGGAATAAACTAGCTGCCACTCTGTGTTTCAGGATGAAGAGATACCAGGAGCTGGGCAACATATTTCCGCTCTTGGATGAGGAGTCTGGCTCCGGGTCTGATGTCGCAGTGGAAGCAGAGCCAGCCTCTGGGTCAGGGCTCGGCGACAGTGATGGCTTCTCTGAGGTGAAGCTGCCTGTCTTCCTAGAGGGCCCACGAGGCAGCGAGCTGAAGCAAAAGCTAACGGAGGAGGATTTGCTCCTGTAGGGCTGAAGATGTCGGCCTCCCTCGCCTCCTGTACCCCTTTCCCAGTGCCTGACTGGACGCAATGGCCACAAAGCGATTTTAAACCAGCTCCAAACTAATAAAAAGTTTGCCTCAAGATCTTTATTGCTTTCACTCGCTACAGAAAAATCTGTGTTTGGTCTGAACTCGCTCTTTGCATTTTAGGGGTGGGGCAGCCACCCCAATCAGGGGAAAACAGGTTTTGGGGGCCCTGCCTGATCTGTGTGGATGTTATCACGCTCCAGGGGTAATAAATTAAAAACCTTTGTGTGGTGGCAGTCGCCTGCGCTTTTACAAAACTCAGTTAATCATGTAAAATCCGCCCGAGCGGCTGCCTCGCACCTCCTTGCTCGTGTTTCCCTAAAAA